TGACCACGAGGTGGCGCTACTACCCTGGATGTTGGGAATATAATAGCAAGAAGAAAGAAAAACCTAGCCGCTTAAGTGGTGAAAGAGTAAACCAAAATACGAAGTGACTTTGAAAGCCTGTTGCAGTATTTTTCTTTTTTTAATAAGACTGACCGCATTTATTTATTTATTTTTGGCTGTGCTGGGTCTTCGTTGCTGTGTGAGTTTTTCTCTAGTTGCGGCTTGCGGGGGCTACTCTCTAGTTGTGCTGCTCCGGCTTCTCATTGGGGTGGCTTCTCTTGTTGCAGAGTCCGGGCTCTAGGATACAAGGGCTTCAGTAGTTGAGGTTCCCCAGCTCTTAGAGCACAGGCTCAATAGTGTGGTGCACGGGGCTTAGTTGCATGTAGTATCCTCTCTGACCAGGTATTGAACCCATGTCTCCTGCATTGGCAGGTGGATTCTTTACCACTAAGCCACCTGGGAAGCCCTTCATCTCCTCCTTAGATCTCTTAAATTTATTATTATGACTTGCATTTATAAGGCCAGGTTCTCAAATTTCACTAGTTAGCATTCTAAGAGAAAAAGCCAACTTGTAGGCAGAAATACAGAAAGAGTTTAATAAGATTTTATCTAATAATAACAGAAAGTACCATACTGAGATATTCTTTTGTGTATCTTGTTTCTAGATTATTTCTTCACTTTCTATGGTACTTGTAAACATAGTAGAAATGCGATATAAGTATTCTGAGCCCTGGTATGTCTGAAAGTTCTTTTTTTTTTAAAGTTTTTAAAAATTGTATTTATTTAATTTATTTATTTAGCTGTGCTGGGTCTTAGTTACTACATGCGGGATCTAGTTCCCTGACCAGGGATTCAATCCAGGCCCTCAGCATTGAGAGCGTGGAGTCTTAACCACCAGGGAAGTCCTTGAAAACTCTCTTTTTTTCCCTCCCTAATTTTTCATGCCAATGATCATTTGCACTGACAAATCTAGGTTGAAAAAAATTTCCCTTGCAAATATGAAGGCATTGTCCTGTCTCCTGATGTTGAGTGTAGCAACTGGAAAGCAGAATCTGTTACAGTTCTTGTTTCTTTAGGTGATTTTTTTTTCCTGCCTCCAGTAGCTTTTAGAATCTTTATTGCTGGTATTCTGAAATTTCACAGTTATGTCCCATGGTCATTCTTCAATGAAAAGCTGGGCAATTAGTAGGTTATTTAAATTTGGAGCCTCATGCTTTTAATTCTAAGTAACAATCTTGTATTATTTCTTTGATAACTTTCTCCCTTTTACTTCCTTCTGTATCTTCTAGAACTATTAATTGAGTGTTGGGGATCAATTGATCTTTTATGTTATTCGTGGAGATTTAACAAGGCTGGTAAAAAAAGAGGGGGGTGCTTTCCTTTCCTCTGAGGTTTGAAACGAATTGAGAACCAAGACACAGTAGACAGATAAATGATGTCAAGTTGCTAGCTTTCTTGCTGATACACAGTTAAGGTGGACTTGTCTTCAAACCTTAAATCAAATGAAAGTGAAAGTCTCTCAGTCATGTCCAACTCTTTGCGAGACTATGGACTATACAGTCCATGGAATTCTCCAGGCCAGAATACTGGAGTGGGTAGCCTTTCCCTTCTCCAGTGGCTCTTCCCGACCCAGGAATTGAACTGGGGTCACCTGCATTGCAGGCAGATTCTTTATCAGCTGAGTTACAGGGAAGCCCCTTAAATCAAAAGGACTTGTTAATATTTCATCCAAGAATTAGACAGGCATATTTACCTAGTCACAGGCAGAGCTGGGCAAAGCACATTTTCTCTGCAGGGGTGGGTTCAGTGTCACCTCCCAGAACACAGATTACTGGCTGAGCAGAGAGAACCAAAGAGAGCCCCACAGGCAAACTTCCTCTCCTGGGGAGGTGTGGTGGGGATGTCTGGAGAAAGGCCTGGAGACGTCCCTAGCAGGAAGTATACACGGAAACATGAGGCCAGAGGGTAAAAAAATGCCCTCAATTTAGCTGTTTTCTCATTAAAAAACAACAAGAACAACAACAACAACAACAAAACTTTGTCCCTTTTTTGGAAATATTTCCTAATTTTTATCTTCCAGCACTTCTTATTAATTGTTTTGGCTTTTTTTTTTTTTTTTAATAATTTTTTTTTTTTTGGCATGTGGGATCTTAGTTCCCTGGCCAGGGATTGAACCTGTGCCCTTTGTGTTGGGAGCACCGAGTTTTAACCACCTGACTACCAGGGAAGTCCCTTGTTTTGGCTTTAACAACAAAACAAAATATTTTTAATTTTCAAGAGATCTTTTTTGTTTTCTGAACATGTATCTAGAATACACAAGATATGCCTCCAATCAGCAAAGTGAATACAGGAAACCCAGTAGAAAAAGGGATATAGGATGTGGAAAAGCCATCTATACAAGAGGAAATCTGAGCGAATAGAAAATAGAGGGAGAAATGTTCAAACCCTTTATTAACCAGAAGTGTAACATAGAAGAGCAGTGAAATGTCATCAGGGTGGTGAGAAGCTGAATAGTAACAAATGTTGAGAAGGATGAAGCAAAAGAGGAAGCCCTCATATACTGGTGATGGGAGTGTCAATGGGCATGGCCATTCTGGAAGATGTATAGCCTGGCTGGACTCAGGTGAAATTAAGCTTGAGAATCATCTGTGACGTGACACTTTCACTCCCGGATATGGTTCACAGGGAAATTCTCACCAAACTCCATGTGGGAACTTGATGAAGCATTAATAGCAGAGATAAAACAGTAAGACCATTAATATCACAGGAGGGGCAAGGATGGAGGATGCAGTGAGTGGACGAGGAGCACGAGGCAAGTGGGAAATGAAAGGGAATAAAAACTGTACTGAAAAAGAGTATTGTGAATAGGATCTCATTGATGCAAAAAAAAAAATGTGTGTGTGTGTGTGCATTAAATTAAGTGTGAGAATATTCTGTGACTTGGCAATTTCAGTCTTGGATATAGTCCTGGGAGATAGTCTCACCTAGGTCCTCATGGGGACATGCTGTGTCCATTGCGTTAGTTGGGTGTTCCTCATTTGGGGACTGGGTAAATATACAATGATGGATATGCACCATTGAATATTGTGCAGAGGTTCATAGCAACAAAACAGATGTACAAATAGCAACATGGGTGGATCTTAAACATTTATTCTTGGGTGAAAAAGTCAGGAACAAATGAGATGTATGAGCACTTCACTTATCTATCTAAAAAATAGGCACACAGACTATGCCACATATTTGATAAGGATGCATATTTAAGAATATATTTTATTTCAGTTACCTATTGATGCATGACAGTCTAACCCAAAGCTTCAGTGGCTTAAAACAAACAACTACAATTGACACTTGAACACAATGGATTTGAACTGCACCGTTTCACTTTGTAAGCAGATTTTTTTCCCACAAAAAATGTGTTACATCATCTGCAGACGCTGATCAGGGGATACAAAGTGTACTATAAAGTCATACTCGAGTTTTCAACTGCAGGGAGAGGGTCGGTGCCCCTAATCCCTGCACCATTCAAGGGTCAATTGTATTTATTTCTCAAGATTCCCTGGGTCAGGAACCCGTGCAGGGCTAGGCCAGGTAGACCGTGTGGTCTTGGCTAGGGTCATACACTTGGATGCATTCAGCTGTTGGCTAGACTGGAAGCTCCCAGAAGGCTTTGTTCACATGTGGGGGGCCTCGGTTCTCCTCTGTATTCTCTCTCCATATGGTGTCAAGGAACTGGATCCCACATGCTGCAACTGAAGAACCCTTATGCCATAATGAAGGCCCAGTGCAGCCAAATAACTGATGTGTATGTATGTGTGTGTGTATAAATATATATATATATATATATATATATATATATTTAAAAAATCAGGAATGAAAACTGGGTTTTCTCTCCCAAGATGTTGTTAGCGCAAGTATAGATGGTGAAAGTGAAAGTCGCTCAGTTGTATCCAACTCTTTGCAACCCCATACAGTCCATGGAATTCTCCAGGCCAGAATACTGGAGTGGTAGCCTGTCCCTTCTCCAGGGGCCCTTCCCAACCCAGGGACCGAACCCAGGTCTCCCACACTGCAGGCGGGTTCTTTACCAGCTGAGCTATGATTTCTCGGTTCGTGAAGCCCTGTCTTCCTCACAGGACTGTGAAGACCCCCACTCTGATGGGGTGGCATTTTCCCTCGATCCATTTTGCCTCCCACTGTTCCCCCTCCCTGCCCCCACCGTTTCCTGCTACACAGTCAAGTCACTTAATCTCCTCCTGGTTTTCTCCTCTGTGAAGTGGGAACAGCAGAAGTGAAGTCATCTGTTGTGACATGTCGTGAGAGTTACCAGAGAGCATGTCTGTGGGTCATTTAGCACCGTGCCTGTATGTGAGGCCCAAGGCTTCTGGAGCCAGGGCCACGAGAGGGCCTGTGCAGTCGCTCAGTCATGTCCAACTCTGTGACCCCGTGGACTGCAGCGCACCAGGCTCCTCTGTCCATGGGATTTCTCAGGCAAGAATACTGGGATGAATTGCCCTTTCCTCCTCCAGGGGATCTTCCCGACCTGGGGATCATACTCGAGTCTCCTGCATCGCAGGCAGATTCTTTACCACTGAGCCACCAGGGAAGCCCAGCCAGGGCCACAGGAGGGGCTTGTTTACAAGGTTGAACCTCTCCTATCCACTGCTTTCTGGATGCTCTTCCCTCCTCTCTGCCCTCCCTGAATTTCCAGTCTCTGAGGAGCTTTACTCCCATGGAGAGTGAAGCCAGTTGGCCCAAAGCTGGGAAGCCTGATGACTGAGCCTACAGGACGTGGGGCCTTGACTCAGATGCCAGATTGGGCAAGAGTGCAGAAGCGGCCCCTCCAACCCTGGCCAGAGTTATCTGACTAACGATTCCAGGAATCTGAGGCAGGAAGTGAAAGGGGAGCAGGGCACAGAGGAACTAGCCGATTGCACCCTGGTTCCTCCTGGCTGGGCCCCCTCCCAGATGTGCCGTGAAGAGTGAGGTGACTAACTTCCGAGGGTAGAGAGGATAGGCCAGGAGACCCCTTCTCTGTAAAGGACACAGACACAGCCCTGCCCTCTGCCCCCACCACATATTGACTGAGTTCCCAACTCAGTTTCCACTCTGTTTACTGTCCAAAGTCCCAGGTAGATGCCAAGTTAGAAGCGCTTGGACGCTCAGACGCACGGTTTCAGGGCCCTCGCCTGAACTAGTGCTCACCCCTTCCCTCGTCTCCTCCAGCACCGCCTGGCCCCCAGTTCTCCTGGTTCAAGCCGTCCTGCGTCCTGGGGCCTGGGCGGCCCTCTAGACCTTGAACAGGTAAACCGAGGTCACTGGGGAGGCAGGTGGGCCTGGGGATGTCTGGGATTAGACAGACCCTGGTTCAGAGACAGTGGGGGGCGTCGATGGGAAGCTGTGCGGTGATTGGCACGTGTGGAGGGAAGGCTCGAGGCCTAAGCGGTCTCCTGAGAGGGGATGGGACCCAGCGGTATTTCAGCTTCCGTCTCCCCTCCAACCTCAGATCCAACCCAAGCCATCGCCTAGACCCACTCTGAGCCTACATCCATCAGCCTCCACCTCAATTAGCATCTTAGCAGGAGCATCAGCCCCAACTCAGTCCCAGCCTTGAAGCATCCCTGAGCCCAGTCGGGGTCTATCCACACCCAAAACCCAGCATGGCCAGGGACTTCCAGGACATCCAGCAGCTGGACTCCGAGGAGAACGACCACCAGCTCGGCAGAGACGAGGGCCCAGGCACTCGTGGGTACAGCCCCAGGAGAGAAGGACCATTCTGGAAAGGCAAGTGTCTGGTATCTGGGGCTCTGCTCCACCCTAGTATAGCTCCTGGTCACTCTCTGTCCCTCCAAGGCCTTTGCCACATTCACCCTGTGACCAGGGACTGTCCCCTGACCTCACCCTCTTCTCCACCCCCAGGACCCCAGGAAAGGGGTCTCCCCTCTTCCTTCCAACCTGACCAGTGTGTGCTGTGTGTGATGGGGGGGAGGGGAAGGGTGTGTGTTGGAGGGAAAGGGCATGGAGAAATTCTGGAAGATCCCCACTCCCCTCCACGCCCCCTGACTGGATCCTTCTCTAGCAAATCTTTTCCCCAAGTGTCTAGGAGAAGGTTTTCAGGCGAGAAAGAGCTGAGCCATTTCCAGGATGAAGGGCGGGAGCCGGGATGCGGGAGGGGGTGCCAGGTATGGGTGCTGGTGATGGAGTGAAGCTCTGTGGAGACCAGGAGGGTTGGGGTAGAAGGTTGAGGAGGGGGACTGGTTAGCCTGGGCTGGGAGGAGGGACCCCCTCCTGCCTGAGGCTGGAAGAACTGCCGCCGTTGCAGCTGAGGGGGGGAGCTGGGCAGGGCAGAAACTGCTGTCCCACCGGGCTTCTCCTTCTCCCGGTGGCAGGTTCACAAGCCTTTTCAACAGGCTGCGTGGGGCAGATGCCACACCCACCTACACCCCTCTGCCCCTTCGGGTCCCACCAGCTGCCCTGTAGGTAGTAAATCCTCAAAAGTAACTTGGGATGTTGTTGGATCTTCTGAGAATGAGAGGATTCGTGTTTCAGCAGGAGGCTTGGAGAGAGTCCAGTGGTTTTGTTTTTTTCCATTTATTTTTATTAGTTGGAGGCTAATTACTTTACAATATTGTAGTGGTTTTTGTCATACATTGACATGAATCAGCCATGGATTTACATGTGTTCCCCATCCCGATCCCCCCCCACCCTGGCCCATCCCTCCCCATCCCATCCCTCTGGGTCATCCCNAACTGCCATATGACCCAGCAATCCCACTTCTGGGCATACACACCAAGGAAACCAGATCTGAAAGAGACACGTGCACCCCAATGTTCATCGCAGCACTGTTTACAATAGCCAGGACATGGAAGCAACCTAGATGCCCATCAGCAGTCCAGTGGTTTTGGATTTCACGGGACAGGGGGCTCGCTTGAAAGAGGCAGGGTGGACAGCCTGGCAGAGTGTGCCTGAGGGGTGCAACCGTCAGCCAGCCTCTAGCAGCTTCTGCCGCCTGCAAGCAGGTTGACAGCTGGCACCTGCTCACCTGGGAGCAGCTTCCACTCTTCCCAGCCTTTAATAGGCCTAGAGTTTTCAGAAGATTTGGAGATACACTGGCTATTGTTTCCTCAAAAATAATTTCTTTCTGCCTCTCTAGCTCCCCTTTCCATCAATTATGCATATATTAGTGATCCCACAGCTCATTGGTGCTCTTTCTATTTTATGGGGGAGTGTGGGATTCTTTTCTTTCCTGGAGTTTCTTTTTATATAGTTGTTGTTGCTATGCCTCTAAATTCATTGAGATGTACACATGTCTCATCTATTAATTTGATCCAGAGTGGTTTTCATTTTGGAATCTGCTTTCTCCGCCTGGCCTCGCCCCGCAGCGCTGTACTTCCTCAGACTCTGCTCCTCTGACGCTCCATGAGGGTGGCTCTCTGGCCCCTGCCTCCGACGCCCCTTGTCCTGACACCCCTTCTCTTGCAGGGATGCTGCCCCCCCAGCCTCTTGCGCTGCAGCGTCTCTGCTCCAAGTTCCACCTCAGTCTGCTTGTCCTGGCCTTCAACGTCCTGCTGCTGGTGGCCATCTGTGTGACAGGGTCCCAAAGTGAGGGTCTCAGGGTGGGGCAGCGATGGGGGCGGGGGTTCGGGCAGTGCTGGGGCCAGTGAGAGCCACGATAGGGAAGAGATGGAGGCAGTAAGGAGGCAGTGCTGGGGCGGGGAAGGGGCCATCCCATGGACAGTGCTGAGGGCTGTCAGGTGGGACGGAGCACAATCCACTTTGTCCTGTTTTGTCTCCTGACAAGGGGCACAGCTGCAAGGGGAGCTGCAGACCCTACAGGAGACTTTCAGCAACTTCTCGTCGAGCACACTGAAGGACATCCTGAACCTCAGCTCCCACGGTGAGTGGCCGAGCCCCGAGGGGAGGGACTGGGGTGTGCTGGGTGGCTGAGGGGTTGGTTTAGCAGCGAGGGTTGGCTGGGCTCTGTGCTGGGTGCTTCCCTGGGGCCTCAGACAGTAAAGCGTCTGCTTGCAATACATGAGAACTGCGTTCGATCCCTGGTTCAGGAAGATCCCTTGGAGAAGGGGATGGCTACCCACTCCAGTACCCTTGCCTGGAGAATCCCAAGGATGGAGGACCCTGGCAGGCTACAGTCCATGGGATTGCAAAAAGCTGGACATGACTGAGTGACTAAGCATACACGCATGCATGCTGGGTGCAATAGTGGGGGGTACTGGGAAGGAAGCACAGACTAGGGCGGATAACCCAACCTGAGAAGCCAGGCAAGGGTTCCAAGGATGCTGCTTCCTGAGCTGAGGGTCCCTGAAGGATGAGTAAGGGTTTGAGTAGAGGATGGAGGTGGGAACCAGGTAGAGAGCAGAGTCTGATGACCAGGACGTGAGGAAGACCACTGCATGTCCTGGACTCTCAACATTTCCAGTGTGGCTGGAGGGGTGGGATGTGGCTAGAGAGGTGGGTAGGGGCCAGGCCACGCAGGCAAGCTGTGCTAACTTGTGGGGCTTTACTTTGAGAACATAGGGAGCTACGGGAAAGCTTTAACAGGCGAGAGGTCTGAGCAGGTTGTGCTTCAAAACACCACCCTGCAGCCAGGAGAAGAGCAGGTGGGGTTGGGGAGGCCAGAGAACAGAGCATGCATCATCCCAGGTCAAGGTGATGGTGGCCTGGACTGATGCGTCAGTGGCATGAGGATGGAGAAATGTTGGGGAGGCAGAGCGGAGAGGAGACAGTTTAGCTTTCCTCTGTTGCAGGAGGCTTCGCCAGTGACACGGTGAGATTTCTGGAAGCCAAGCTGGTAAAACAGCAGCAAGACTTGAAAGCAGGTCAGAGACTCTCTCTTGAGTGTGCGTGTGTGTGCCAGTGATGTATCTCCCCAGCCAGACGCTGGGGTCCTGGTCTGTGGGCCATGCACACAGCCCACCACACCCCTGCCACCACTCTGACCCTTAGATCATGCCACTTTGCTGCTCCATCTGAAGCACTTCCCCACGGATCTGCGCACACTGACTTGTCAGATGGCACACTTCCAGAGCAACGGTAGGGATGTGGTGGGGCGGGGTTGAGGGGGGTGCGTCTCCAGTCCCTCTGCCTGTCCCCTCCAGCTGGATCTCATCTCCCTCTGTCCCTCCAACGCCCTCAGGCACAGAATGCTGCCCAGTGAACTGGGTGGACCATGACGGCAGCTGCTACTGGTTCTCTCGCTCGGGGAAGCCCTGGCTCGAGGCTGAGAAATACTGCCAGCTGGAGAATGCCCACCTGGTGGTCATCAACTCCAGAGAGGAGCAGGTGAAACCACAACCTTCCCCAAGGCAGGAGGAAACCTTGGGAATGCAAACTCTGGGAGGCTGGGTCAGGCTGGTTTTGTTATTTTTTTCTAACCCGAGGAAGAATCCAGAAGCAGAAATCTGTCCCCGCTCTGGGAGGTTCATGATGGAGCAGCCATTGATTCTAAGAGGTGGGAGGTTACATCCAGGTGTCAGGGCAAAGGATAGGAGCCAGGAGACCAGGTGATGAGGATCGGGGCAGGAGACAGAATGAGTGGCAGGATGAACGAAAGGGCCAGGACTTCGGTGGAGAACACTGTGGAGGTGCTGACAGTCCCTGCTTGCTCTGTGCTGGCCTGGGGAACGTGATGGGTCTTTGGGTGAAAGGAACAGAGTGGGTGAGATTCCCAGGAATGCGCCTGGCATGAGTTACTGGGTCCCTCCAAAACGTCCCAAGTCTCCCTGCCCACTGCTGCCACCAGATCACAACTCCAAAGTCCAGAGGGAAGACTCAACCCATTCGAATAAGTGGGGCATGTTTGGGCAAAGGAGGGTATTAATGAAAACATTTACTGAGCCCTTACTATGTGTCAGGCACTTTCATATATCCATCGCTTTAACCCTCACAACCCTATGGAGCAGGTACTCTTGTTATCCCCACTTTGAGGTGAGGGTAGAGATGAGGGAACTAAAGAACAGAGAAGTTAAGTAACTTACTGCACAGCTAGTAAGTCATAAATAAATATGTGTGTATATATATATATTTATATGGATTACAGACATATTTTATTTTACTGATCAGATTGAAATTGCCAATATTCTATCAGTATTGGCCTATAAAGTTTCACGTGAATCAACCTAAGACTCAGTCTGTGATTTGGCTCGCAAGTTCATGTCACCTACAACTTTATGGAGGATGGGATGGTGCCTTTATCATTTTGAAATGAACATCAGTGTCCCAGTTAATGCTTTTTGCCTTGAATTCATCTTCCATGTGATGTGAAGGGACTGGTCCTTGATTTCTTTTCACTTACATTTGCTTTGTATATCTCTGCCCATCCCTTTTATTTCCAACCATTTTGAGTCTCTGTTTTAGAGGAATGATTCTCAGCCATCACAGTGTATTGTAACCTCTTGAGGAGTTTAAAACATATTGACACTTGGTCTTGCACTCAAATTTAATTAATTTAATTCTGATTTAATTTAATTAATATTGGATTCTGATTTAATTAATTAATCTTGGATCCATCCTGAGTTTTGAGAATTTTTTAGGTACCCCCACCCCACACCCCATAAATGATGTTACTCTATTGTTCAGCCAAGCTTAAGGTATTTCTCCTATAGGTTGTATATAAGTTGTTTTATTTTACCTGTTTAAAAAATATTTATTTGGTGGCATTGGGTCTTAGTGGGGGCACACAGGATCTTCACTGCATCATAAAGGATCTTTCATTGTGGTGTCCGGATTCTCGTTATATAAGTGCACAGACTCAATAGTTTCGGTGAGCAGGTTTAGTTGCTTTTCAGCCTGTGGGATCTCAGATTCCCACCATGGATCAAACCCCTCTCTGCCCGCTGCAGTGGAAACTCGGAGTCTTAACCACTGGACCCCCAGGGAGGTTCCCATTTTTAGTTTTTTTAAGGAACCTCTAGAATGTTCTCCACAATGGCTGCACCAATTTACATTCCCACCAAGAGTATATAGTAGGGTCCTCTTTTCTCCACACCCTCTCCAGCACTTACTACTTGTAGATTTTTTAATGATGGCCATTCTGACCTATGTGAGATAAATCCTCATTGTGATTTTTATTTGTATTTCTCTAGTAATTAGCAATGTTGAGCATCTTTTCACGTGTCTGTTGGCCATCTGTATGTCTTCTTTGGAGAAATGTCTGTTTAGGTCTTCTGCCAATTTTTTTGTTGAGTTGTTTTTTGATGTTGAGTTGTATGAGGTGTTTTTATATTTTGAATGTTAACCCCTTGTCAATTGCATCATTTGCAAATATTTTCTTCCATTCCATAAGCGGTCTTTTTGTTCTGTTGATAGTTTTCTTTGCTGTGCAGAAGTTTTTAAGTTTGACTAGGTCCCATTTATTTACTTTTGCTTTTATTTCTTTTGCCTTGGGAGACTGGTCTAAGAGAATACTGCTATGATTTATATCCCAGAATATTTTGCCTATGTTCCCTTCTAGGAGTTTTAGGGTGTCATGTCTTATATTTAGGTTTTTAAACAATTTTAAGTTTATTTTTGTATATGGTGTGGGGGAGTATTCTAATTTCATTGATTTACATGTAACTGTCCAGTTTTCCCAACACCATGTGTTGAAGAGACTATCTTTTCTCCATTGTACGTTTTTGCCAGCTTTGTCATAGATTATTGACCGTAGGTGTGTGGGTTTATTTCTGGGCTCTCCCACTTGCATGTATTTTAAAATAGATATCTTTAATCAGTCTCCTTTTTTCCTGTTTTATATGCTTCTTTTGTTTTCTCCCATTTTCTATGTGAGATGTATTCTTTTTGTTTTCTCCACTGTGTTATTTTGGACTAAATGTGGCTTGTTTTTAGCTACACTAGTAATTACTGTCATAACTTTAAATAATGGGCTGAAACTTCTTGGCTTTAAAAAATAAAAGAGTTTATATAACTTTGATATGAAAGATGAGGAAACCAGTACACTTCTTCACATGCCTCACTCTTTTCTCTTTTTAAAAATTGAGATATCATTGACATGTAACACTGTAAGTTTGAAGTGCACGACACCCTGGTTTGTTATATTTATATACTGCAATATGATGAATAAAGTAGTGTTAGCTTTTACCTTTACCATCTCACACAATCATCATTTCTTTTTTATTGAGAACAATTCAGATCTAGTCTCTTAGCAACTTTGAGGTTTATAATGCCTCATTCATATCTCTCCCACATTCCTTACATGTGTGTGCAAATAGTTTTTCTTTGAATTTCATTAATCTCAGATATATCTCAGTGTGGCACATTCTCTATATTTTTGCTCTGAGTCTAGGAGAGTTCTTTTAACACATAAAGTTAGGTTTTCATATGTTTTGGAAGATTTTCTTAAGCCATTTATTTGAATAGTTTTTCTTGCCCATTGGTTCTCTTTTTCTCTGGAGCACACCATTCAAAATGATCTCCATTGTCTACCCTCCATAGCCATCATCTCATTACTGTTTACTACTTTCTTTCTCCCTTTTCCTTTGTTTTCTGGGCTCTTTTCTCAAGCCTGTCTTTTGTATCTCAGACTTGATTTTTTGTTGAGTTTTTTTTTTAATGTAGCTCAAAATTTTCTCTTCACTTTCTTCTCTTTATTTATCATTGTTATCTTTCTTCTTTGATCTCTTCTTTTGTAGTTTTATGTCATTCATCTCTTTAATGTTTCTGAGGATATAAGCTGTTCTCCAATAGCTTCTTAGGTTTGGAAACATGCTTTCTTTACAAAGTATATTTTTCACCTTTCCTTTTGATATCACAGTGCTTTTTTCTTCCTCCTCTTCCTTTCTATCTTCTTTATTTTTTCTCAGTTTCCATGATAAAACTCCCCCATGCTCCTTCTGTGAATGGGCTAAATTCTTTCTTGCCTGTTATTTACTCATGAATAGGGCAGACTTGTTCTCATGGGCTATCTTTTCTGATCATCTGACACTATTTCATCCCTCCCCTCAGTCTTCACCTGGGTTTCCCAGGTGGTGTGGTGGTAAAGAATCTGCCTGACAATGCAGGAGATGCGGGTTCAATCCCTGGGTTGGGAAGATCTTCTGGGGTAGGAAATGGCAATCCTACTCCAGTACTCTTGCCTAGAAAATTCCATGGACAGAGGAGCCTGGTGGGCTAAAGACCATGAGGTCACCAAGAGTTGGACATGACTGAGCACACACATGCACACACACACACTCAGTCTTCAACACAGAGGGCTGGATATTGATGCTTCGTATTGTTCATTCAGTTATTCAACCTCTTGTGGTGATGGGAAGAGGGGACTGGGGCGGTGAGCAGGAGCAAAGAGAATATCTTGCCTCCAGGCACTTTCCCTCCAGCTCCGTTGACCCTCCTGAATTTGGGGAATAGCCCTACGAGCCCCTGAGAGCTGTCCCTTCATGCACAGGATACTGACCTATTTGTAGGTGTCTAGCATATCTCCAGGGGATCTTCCCAACCCAGGGATCGAACCCAGGTCTTCCAGATTGTAGGCAGACGCTTCCCTGGGCTACCAGGGAAGCCCAGAATTCAAGAATGCTACTGTATCTGCCTTCAGATGAGGTGACTAACTGCAGTTTTAGTTAGGTGTCTAGGAAGGGAGAATGGAATTAGGAAAATTTCCTCCAGATGCAGTTGGAGACCCTTCATATGCTATCAAAGGAAACTGCTACATATGCACATTGGTGAACATACCCCCTCTGTTTCCTTCATAAAACAAGGTGACCACACCCTATGCTGCTGCCCTCCCAAACCCTCTGAGGCTTAAGGCCTCAGAAAGAGCCATATCTCTTAAGAGAAAGCCACTTCCTCTTAGGAGGTATGCATGGATCCTGGGAAGCTATCTCAAAGACCACTTTTGTCCAGCCAGCTGGACAGCTTGGCTGCCCGTCACATATAGGGCGTCTTCTTATTTTCAGCCAGACTGCCAGAGCCCCTGTAGCCAAGTCAGCAGAGCTCTGGGCAGTGGGTCCAAGCTTGGGAGCTGTAGGGCCTGGAGAACAACAGAAATGACAGCTGTATGTAGAAGTGAAGTGAAAGTGAATGCTGCTCTGTTGTGTCTGACTCTTTGCAAATCTGTGGACTGTAGCTGCCATGCTTTTCTGTCCATGGAATTCTCCAGGCAAGAATACTGAAGTGGGTAGCCGTTGCCTTCTCCAGGGGATCTTTCCAACACAGGGAACCCGCATTGTAGGGAGATTCTTTACCAGCTGAGCCACCAGGGAAACCCATATGTAGAAGTAGGAGCAGATAAATGTACCTGAGAGGCAAGTGAAACCCAGATCTTTACTGGGTCATTGGGTCACCCTGGGGGTGGCAGGGGTCAGGATCCAAGAGTTTGAGGCTGTGGGAAGAAGACAGGGAGAAGACTAGAATAGGGGTCTAGCAGCTATGAGTTAGGAATGAAGTGGGAGCCCAGGTCAAGGACAAAGCCCAGGCACTGGGTTGATACCCTGGGCTCCACAGATACCCTCAGTTCCTTAATCTCACATGAAAAGTGTGAATCATTAGGGTGTCCGGTTTACAGAGCTTTATGAGGATGAAATAAGATAATCCTTGTAAAGCAATAGTGCAAGATTTAGCCCAGTAAATGTTCACTAAATAATAGATACGGTTACAGAAGAAAAAGCCAGGAACTTGTATTGGGAGCTGTTGCTTCGAGGTGGGGACGGATCAGACTGAGGGGTGGGGTGAGGGAGCCACAGCTAAGGCCTGCATGGAGGCACAGGGGACTAGAAACTTCCCTCCCACCTGTTTTCCAGAAGTTCATTGTACAACACACGAACCCCTTTAGAGCCTGGATAGGTCTCACCGACAGCGATGGCTTCTGGAAATGGGTGGACGACACAGACTACAGGCACAGCTATAAGTAAGTGGCTTCTCCTTGTCTCTCCCCATTAATTTGTCTTGGGGATGGCCATCTGGTCTCTGCCCCCAGCACACTGCCACTCCTCTCTCAGGGACCAACTCCTCCCACCATCACCCCCCTCACCCTGATTCTCAGCTCCCAAGACTGCCTCCACGACTCCCCAAACCCCACAAAACCATGCATTTCTGAGGTGGGGGGTGAGGGTTGCTGGGATGAGGGGACCATCTAGAGCGGAGCTCTGTCCTGCCATCCTAGGAACTGGGCTGCCAGCCAGCCCGATGACTGGCGGGGGCACGAGCTGGGGGGCAGCGAGGACTGTGCAGAGATCCAACGGGATGGGCGCTGGAATGACGATTTCTGCCAGCAAGTGAAACGCTGGGTGTGTGAGATGAAGCAGAACGTCACTGTCTAGCCACCCACCTCCCCCAGCCTCCAGCAGACCTCTGACCCACAAACCTCCCTGCCTGGACATTTTGAAGAAAGGAAGGAGAGGAGAGTCTTCCGAAGTATGGGGAGAGCTTGAAGAGGGATAGAAGCGGGTGGCTGAAGAAGCTCTGACCCTGAAGATCCTGCCTTCTTCTGAAATTCACTGTAATTATTATTATTATTATAATCTTCAGCTTCCTCAGTGCAGTAGTGTGTAACTTGTGCTTGGCCACTTAGTCATGTGCGACTCTTTACGACCCATTGGACAGTAGCCTGGCAGGCCCCTCTGTCCATGGGATTTCCCCGGCAAGAATACCGGAGTGGGTTGCCATTTCCGTCCCCAGGGCGTTCTCCCCAACACAGGGATCGAACCCGCGTCTCCTGTGTGTCATGCGTGGCAGGCAGATTCTTTACCTGCTGAGCTATCAGGGAGTAGGAAAAGGACGAATACTTGAAACTTTGTGTGGACTGGTTATTTGGAACTGGGAAGTGTAGGATTCAAACAAGAGGGAGGGAGAGGGTCTGGAAGAGAGAGCTCAAGTGTTGGACAGCTGTCCCTGACACTTAATCTTTTTTTTTACACTCCCCTACCTATGAAGTTTTATATTTTGATTTGCTTATTTGTTTGGTAATTTGCTGTTTTAGTTTTTTAATATTTTATTCTTTATTTTTTGAATTATGGAAGTATGATAACACATTTATAGAAGACTTGGAAAATACAGAACAAAGTTATATATAGTTTCACTATATATTACAAGTTATTTTTTTAAGTAGATAAAGATTTTTAATTGGAGTTTCAATATCAAACTCTCAAAAATTAATAAACTGAATAGACAGAAAAGTAAAAGGCTCTAGCAGACCTGAAAAGCACTATGAACCAATTCAACATTATTAACATTTATACAGTTTTCACACAACAGTAGGATACAAATTCTATTCAAGTTCCCATAGGCTGCAAACCAGGAGACACTGGAACATATCCAGGGATGTAAAACAAGGCTTGATACCTAATCTTTTTTTTTTTTTAAACCACCATAGCTTTATTTAACACCTCCTTCATGTTAAACAATTACCATTTATTGCAGTGAGGACATTTAACATTTACTGTCTTAGCAACCTTCAACTACATATATAGTATTATTAACTATAATAATCATGCTGTACATTAGATTCCCAGAGCTCATTCCTCTTAAAACTGGAAACATGTACCCTTTGACCATCATCTCCCCCTCCCCCACCATCCCCTGGTAACCAACGTTCTATGTTTGACACCTAATCTTAAAGCACGCAGGCCAGACGGGCCCCTGGATGCCACTGGTGGGGCTGGCGTGGCTGGGGCCACAGTCTGCCCCGAGGACTTCACTGTAAAAGAGGTTTCAAAGAACACCCCGGCTCCACTGAACATCTCTGTTCCAAAGAACACCTGTCAGTCTGGGAACTGTGAACTGGACTGGCAAAGGCCAGTGAAAAAGTTTGCTAAGAGAAGCAGGATTGAAAAGACCCCAGACTGACCTAGATGGCTCTCCAGTACAGGGTGTCTCCAACAGTCTCCACAGTGGGTAAACTGCACCCTCCAAGATCACTACAACCAACCTTAAACGAGTCTTGAAGCAATTAGGTTTTTTGGTTTTATTTTTATTTACAAAAGTAGTATAAACTAGTAGTAAAAAATGTTTTGCACACACACACACACACACACACACACACACCTAGCGCATGTCCTCCCCTCACCCCTCCTACTTCTACCCAGAGTTAACCATTTCATGGATATTGTAATAGTCTAGGGTCTCCACAGAAACAGAACCAATGGGATCTATGTGTACCAATAGGAGATATATTGGCTCATGGGAGTACGGATAAGTTCTACAGATGAGTCGGTGATCTGGAAACCCCCAAAATCCATCAGAGTAAGATGCAGTCTGAGTCTAAAGGCTCAAGACCCAGGAAGAGTCAATGTCTCCACCTGAGTCTGCAGGTAGGAAAACAACCGATGTCCCGGTTTGGAGAGGGCCAGGCAGGAAGAACTCTCTCACCTTAAGAGGGCCGACCTTCTTGATCTATTCAGGGCTTCAGTGGCGTGGATGAGGCCAGCCCATGTTAGGGACGGCAATCTGCTTTCCCAATGCAAATGTTCATCTCATCCCCAAACACCCTCAGAGACACAACCAGAATAATGTTGGCCCCACCATCTGTGTCCCAGTCAAGCTGACACATAAAAATGAACCACTTCAGGGTTTCTGTAGGAAGTTTCCTGCGTACGTGCCCATATGCGATACCACGTATCATGATGTAGGTAGCTTTTTTCACTTTTCCACGTCCTGCTGCTGCTGCTGCTAAGTCATTTCAGTCGTGTCCGACTCTGTGCGACCCCATAGACGGCAGCCCACCAGGCTCCCCCGTCTCTGGGATTCTCCAGGCAAGAACACTGGAGTGGGTTGCCATTTCCTTCCCCAATGCATGAAAGTGAAAAGTGAAAGTGAAGTCGCTCAGGCGTGTCTGACTCTTAATGACCCCATGGACTGCAGCCTACCAGGCTCCTCCATCCATGGGATTCTCCAGGCAAGAGTACTGGAGTGGGGTGCCATTGCCTTCTCCGTTTCCATGTCCTAGGGACACTGATTCAATCTATGCTGTTCCCCGAGAGGTTTTACTTCATTGAATTTCGCCGGGGTAGAGAATTCCAAAATATAGGTGTGCCAGATGTTATTAAATCATCCTCTGTGGTGGGCAAGTAGCTGCTGTTTTTGTTTTCACATCTAATACTTCAAGCAATTTTTGCTTCTAAGCTTGTTCTGGGTCAAGACTTCCCAATTTTCAGTTGCAAGTTTTTCTAGGACTTCTTCAAAATGTATATAATTGGCATTGAATTTAAAAACTTATGACAGAAATAATACATACAATTTAAAGTCTTGTAGGGCTAGAAGCAGAGAAGGCAATGGCACCCCACTCCAGTACTCTTGCCTGGAAAATCCCATGGATGGAGGAGCCTGGTAGGCTGCAGTCCATGGGGTCGCTAAGAGTCGGACACGACTGAGCGACTTCACTTTCACTTTTCACTTTCATGCATTGGAGAAGGAAATGGCAACCCACTCCAGTGTTCTTGCCTGGAGAATCCCAGGGACGGGGGAGCCTGGTGGGCTGCCGTCTATGGAGTCGCACAGAGTCGGACACGACTGAAGTGACTTAGCAGCAGCAGCAGCAGGGCTAGAAGCAGTTACCAGACCCTGTTTTTTTTCTTCAGCCATTCCTGCTGTTCTGAGAAACCACTTTCAGTGTTTTAGCTGTTTCCCCTAGACGTTTGTACTTTCAAATAACACACACAAATTGATATCTCTTTATTTATCAGTTGTAGACATTATTCAGTCACTTTTTATCACGTAGATGGGTATAATTTTCCAATTTAGTCTATAACAGTTTTTACTTGAATCCTAATTCAGAATCTGTGTCATTTAGGGCTGTGGCAGGATTGTTAATTGCTGAGCCAAGTAGTATAATCTGCTTACATTTCCTTTTTTGAACAACTTTTGTTTCTTCTGAAATGAATACTTGAAGATTTTGCTTCAGATTCTGTGAATCAATTGCTAAATCCTCCTTAACTGTAAAAAGCCTGACAACATAATTTTCTGCACATTTGATCCGGTCCCGTCGCCAGCACTTCAGTTGTACTCTTTTCCAAAAGCCATCAGGGTGAATCCAAGTTTTACAGGGCATGAAATGTACATGATTTGGGGTGCCCTCCTTAGGAAAAGATGCAAAATTATGAATACAAAATTAAGCATAAAAGTTGCTATTTCCTTAGATAAGAAAAGAAGACACAAAAGCTGAAAGCTACTACAAACATCACAAAATCCAGACAACTGATATAACATTTTTAATAACCTTCCAACACACCTGTGAAATCCATTCTCCCCTGCTCCCCCTGCTTTTTGGCTGCACATTTATTGTTTCCTTCTGCCTGTGACAAAGGTGTTGTAAGGAGACTTTCAGAAGAGAAAGATCATTGAGAGTTTCTTCCAGCATATTTTTTCTTTACTACTGATGCCAGTGCTTCAGGGAGGCTCATGGCCCACCTTCATTCACCCCCAAGGGAGTCTACACAATGGGTTCCAACAACACCCCCAAAAGCCATGACTGAGTAGGTGGGCCAACCCTAAGGATAAATTGACTGTAAAGCAAGTAACTGGGTCCCTCTCCATTCAAGCCAAACCTGTTTTTCCAACCCAATTTCTTGGTTGGATTTTTTAAAATGCCACCTGACACAGAGGAAGATGTGAAGGAGGGGAAGTTGAAGTGGAAAGTGATGGTGGTCATCCTAACTGATTATATTATATATATAATATACATTATTATATATATTATATTGTCCTTTGGATGGCAAGGAGATAAAACCAGTCAATCCCAAAGGATATCATCCCTGAATCTTCATTGGAAGGACGGATGCTGAAGCTCCAATCCTCTGGCCATCTAATGAGAAGAGCTGACTCACTGGAAAAGACCCTGATGTTGGGAAAGATTGAGGGCAAGAGGAGAAGGGGGCAACAGAGGATGAGATGGTTGGATGACATCACTGACTCAATGGACATGAGTTTGAGCAAACTCTGGGAGATAATGAAGGACAGGGAAGCCTGGTGTGCTGCAGTCTATGGGGTTGCAAAGAACTGACTATTATATATGTTGTTGTGGTTGTTCAGTGGCTAAGTCAATAGTTAGTCGTTTTCATAATTTATAAAAAAAAATTGTGATTATGGCCTCAGAGACGTTGTAAGGGGCCTACAGCTGGCCCCTCGAGTTCAAGCTCCCATAGACTTCCTGTTGATCCACTTCTGTAACTTTGCCTCCCCTTTCCTCTGCCCTCCCCCTGCCAGCAGTTTTCTTGGGACTTCCCACTCCTCCTGAGAAATCCCTGGACCACCTCTTTCTTCTGGGTTGGATCCTCTCTTCCCTGGGTCCATATGTTCTTTGTTGGTTTATTCCTTCGTTCTGTTGAAGCATCCTTTCCCGTAGCTTCCTGGGAAAGGAATGGACTCTTGGGATAGGATTGATCGTTTGTGGAAATATGGAATTCTAGGTTGAAAATGATCTGTCACCATTTCCCACGTTTTCCATTTGTGATGTGCTGCAGTGAGAGCTGACCCTATTCTAGGCCTGATCTCTTGTACAGGAAA